AGATCACAATACCAGCCCCTAAGCCGGGATGCCATTGAACTCCAGGAAGCCCCATGATTGGGGCCTCCAAGTTACAAGGAGAGGGGGAAATGTGGAACCTTCCTCCTTGGCCCCCTTCCCTGGACTCCCTAGACCCCTGCCCCTATTTAGGACTAACTGCTCTTTTTGCTTCTGTAAATTGCTTGGCTTGAGGGAACCAGAGGGACAAACTACACCTTCTCCATTTTGACTGCTGATTCCTCCATTTTTGTGATGTTTCGTGGTCATAGACTAGGCAAGCCCGGGCATGTCCAGGGGGCCTGGGAAGGTTTGTGGCCTTATAAGGAATAAACAGGGTCCTCTATCCCTGAAGATAACAGTCAGCACATTCCACAGCTCTGAGGGCAGTACCCACCAATGAGAGGCCTCCAAGACTGTAACCAATCAATTCAAAAGTATGTTGGCTTGCACGGGCTCTTTGGACCAATTAAAATATAACTCTGTTGTTCCCCTCCTCCCTTTGTCTGAAACCTATGAAAATCTCCCTCCCCCTGCAATCGGGGCTCTCAGATGAACCTACCATGTTAGTTTGGTCTCAGAGTCCGAGCTTAAGCCCGAATAAAGACTCTTTGTTCTTGCATGCTCTCTGGACTCCATGGTAATTCTTGGGGATCTGTTCTCTGGGCACAACACTTTCACATACGTAGAGTGGGAAATTTTAAAAGTTTGATGTAAAGAGGAGAGCAAAAGGCAAAGTCTGGAGGATGAAGCAGCAGACAAGTGGGGGCAAGTCAAGAGTTCTAACGTGCAACTTGCTCAATTCTTATAGGCTAACAGAGCATTCGCTTGAATAGATAGAAACAATACTGGGCAGAGAGAAGTTAAAGTGAATGAGCAATGAAAATCATGACATAATCTAGAAATAAAGCTTAATCCACCCTAGGAAAATTGTCCAAGATACTTTAGAGAAAGTTATTAATTTCTTTAGCATTGCTATGATAAACTATGTTAACAGAAACAACTTAAGAGAGAAGTCTTATCGTGACTCCTGGCTTCAGAGGACTTCAATCCATCAATTGAGGGATGGCATAGCAGAGCAGCTGAGTTCAGCAGAAGCATGCGGGTCACATTACAGGAGACCAGGAAGCATTGAGTAAGGGGATGGGTGTGTAGAACCTTCAAACACATGTCCCTAGTGAGCTTCCACTGTTGTCATCCCAACTCCTAAAAGTTCCGCGGTCTCCCAAATCAGTGTCAGCAGCTGGGGGAACAAGTGTGCAAAGGAGGATCTTCTGGGGCTATTTCAAATCCAAACCACAATAATCCTCTCAACTGAAAAGTAAATAAGGAATATTGACCTGCTATATGAAGGGAACTGGAGTCTTGAGGTTACATGTTTCAGTTTTCCAGTGCCACAGAACATGCTAAGGAGTGGGGGAACAAGCAATGTCCTTGGATAAGCGAGCTGTGCTTGTGCCCCACATGAAAGGCTTTGATATCTATGGTGCGAGCGGTCCCGCAGGGATCGGTCCCCTGGTCTCAGCTGCATGCCCTGGAAGAAGGCGGGTCTGGCCCCGCGGGCTTCTCCGTGTCTCTGTGGGTCTCTGCTGCTGGAGCGTTGTCCAGCCGTGTCTCCGCCCTGATTTCACCCGTGTACTTTCCTCAATATGCGAGTTCCACCGGCCGCTAGAACACGCGGGAAAGTACGAGGCGGCTGAAGCTGGGATCCGCGAGTCGGTGACGGAGGAATGCTGCCTCCGGAGAGGCTGGATCAGTAGTTAGACGCGGGACTCTGCTTAGTCCATGTTACAGCTTTATTAAGTGTAGCTTCAAGTGATCCAGCTCTCTGATATTGAGAGAAAGACCGGGATATTTATACGGGGTAGTGGTAAAAGCTTTGGCTGATAGATACTTTGTGAGACATTCTATTTGCATATGGAAGTGGGTATCTGCCATGCTGCCAGACCGCTGACTGCCTGAAAAATCACAGGAAAGCATGGTATTCCTAGAGCCAGAGGCCATGTTTATGTTAGGGCATTTGTGGCGGGCACTTCAAAAGGAGAGTTAGGAAAAATGCCAGGAAGGCACCCTGCTATGAAAGGAGTCTCAGCACATGGCTCTGAGCTCGTGAGCTATCCGGATATGAAGAGACTTCTACTTCACATAACAGAGGCCCCCAAGAGATATCATACTGACTTTAACGGGAAATAGCTAGGAATGGATTTGTGTTCTAAAAGTGGCATTCTGCTTAAAGAATGGAAAATGAGTTATATGCTAATAGAAATACACATCTTGGTAAGATATAGAAATGAGAACTGATCATCTTGAACTGTAACATAGAAGATGCAACATTTGGTGATAAAGATAATATGTTTGAGCATAGCCCAAGAACAACAGATGTTCCTGAGGTGGACAGTTGGGCAAAGGAACCTTTCATTGAATTATGAAACACAGAGTAATAACTGGTTGATTAGGTTGGGGAAAGGAAGGTATTTACTTACTGATTCTAGTCTGATGTCAATTAGGGCGCGTGTGTGTATGTACACACATGTATGTGCATATGCATACATATGAAGGAGAAGGGTCTGTTGGGGTTATAGGTTTAGATTTGGAAGACAACAGTAAGTAGACAATTGCTGACATCATGGAAGTGAAGAAAAAGCCCAGGAGAAAAGTATAAGCTGATCAGGAAAAGCCATCACACGGCACTCTGAAGATATTCAACATTTAAAGGGAAGCAGAAAAGAGAGCTAGAGGATATAGTAATTAATTTTCAACTGTCCTAATTAAAATGAAAAAGCACAGAATAGTAAAATCCTCTAGTATGCAAAGTGTTGACAGGTTAGGCAAGAACAGAGTCCCCTTTTCTCCAGCGTCTTGAATATTCTTACTTAAGCTGTATACAGTTTTTCCCCCCCCCAAATATGTGGAAAGTTCACTTTGCTAACATGAAAAAAATATGCACAGGTGCATACATGGACTTTTCTCTCTACACTCTCTGGCTGTTTCTCACAGGCTCATGGGTTATCTTTGTTGCTTGCAGTTACATTACAGAAAAAAATTTAAATGTAGTTTAAAAAATACAACAGCCAGTCATAGTGGCTCATACTTGCCATTCCTGCAATCAGGAGGCAAAGGCAGAGTCAAGAGGACAAGGCAATCCTTGGCTCTGTAGTGAGTTCAAGGCCAGCTTGGCTACACAAGACTATCTTCCTCAACACCCACCAAAAAAAATAAATAAATAAAATAAAAAAGAAAGTTAAGAGCTTTAATACATTATATGCAAAGGGATAATTTAAATATTGGACTTCATACAAGTTTTTGTAGCTGCTAAGGTTCATATATGCAACAGCCCCACCCCCTCACCAAGGGAGCCTCAGGATTCCTCAAGCCTCAAGCTGAGAAAAGCACCTTGGTCTTTGAAGTCAAAAGCAGACTGTTCTCCACAGTTTGGTCAGCACAGCAGGCTTCCTCTTTGATCTCTAAAGGGGGCAGGTTTTAACAATCCAGATCTCCCTTTCCCTAAAAAATATATCTTCCTGCCTTTTGCACTTCCCAGAAACCTCCCCCTATAAAAGACCCCAGCTCCTGTGTCGGGGGTAAACATTTTCCCTACCAGGAAGGGAATCTGTCCCATGTGTTCCTTTGGTAATAAACTCTATTCCCCTTGAGTTTTATCTGTGTCCCAGTGCTTTCTCCAGATCTCCATCACTTACTTCATCCATCAGTAGCTATTACACGTCCTTGCAGCTTCAGTACACCATTCATTATGAACAGAACACAAATCATATTCTTTACTTGTAGAAGCAAATTAAGATGAACAGGCTGGTGGGTTAGTTTAAGATAGAAGATGCAGTTTTATACTCATCAGCAGGGCAATTGAACTCAAGTTCCTTAAAGGAACTTACTGTATTTTCATACATACATTCTATAATGTCCTTAAGTCCAAATTATGTAACTTATAAAACAACAATCTCCAATATCCCTCCAACTTTTTAAGTTTTAATTTTTTCATATTTTATTTATTATTTTATGTGTATGAGTATATTGCCTAGCTATATGTAAGTGCACTCATGTTGTGCAATGCCTGCAGAAATCAGAAAAAGGACTTTGAATCCTTCTGAAATTGGAGTTACAGACAGTTGTTAGCTGCCATGTTGGTGCTGGGAATGAAACCTGGGTCCTCTGTAAGAGCAGCCAGTGCTCTTAACTGCTGAGCCATCTCTCCTCTCCCCCTAACTTTTAAGCTTCAGATGGTCCAGTGATTAAGAATACTTGCTGCTTTTGCACAAATACCCAAAATGAAAAATAAAATGAAAAATAAAAATTAAAGATCTATGATTCATAGTTTATCTCAAAACTAATGTAAGATTCATGTTCACTTAAAAAAAAGGCTCTGCAAACTAGGCGTGATGACATATGCGTGAAATCCTAGTGTTTCAGGGCTGAGGCAGGAGGATTATAAGTGCGAGGCAATCCTGGGCTATATAGGGAAACCCTGATTCATAAAAATATAGCTCATAGGTAGAGCACTTGTTGACCTGGAGTTGGATCTCTGGACCTAAAAAAAATGAATAAGCACTGTATTGAATAACTCTATAAATTTTGCCCTACAAGAATGTCCTAATTTGCACACGAGAGATTACATAGACATAAAAATGAAGTCAGAAATTTTGTATGTAATTTTATAACTTTACTGTCGTTCTCCACTTAGTTTATGAGCCTGCTATTTTTAATTTGCTATTTTTTTCTTTCAGTAGATAGCATGGTCATAAAAACTATGCGTAGGGACATAAATACCCATATTCAGCTAGCTACAGCCGTGGTGCAATTACTCAAGTTAAATATTTTCTAAAGGTCTCCCTCTGAAAGAGTCAAGTCAATTAACTGCCTCAGGAGACATTTGGTAAGTGTTGTATCCAGTGACAGGAAGCAAATCTGTAAAACAAAGAGAAAAGAAAGACCTCCAGTTATGAGCGCTTGTATTCAAAGTGCTTGACCTCTCCTTCCCAACACCAGGGATGTTCTGCACCCAGGCTGAGAAGTCAGCATTCCCAATGAGTGGAGCTTTTCGTTTCCTTTGGACTGCCTGTTTTTTCGCTTCTCTACTGAGTCAGCAAGGAGCTGAATCCTTTCAGTGTGGGAACGGGGTCTCTCTGCCCCCTGACCATGTGTGTGACTTCACAGACCAGTGTGGGGACAACAGTGACGAGCAGCAATGTGAGTATCATTTCCTCCCTCCAGTTTCAGTTCCCTTTCCATCGTCCAACCAGGGGCTCCAGAGGGGCCCTTGAGATTCAGCTAGATTCCTGGTTCTTGTATGATTTCACTTCCTGTGCTGTTAGTGTGAATCACAAACTAAGATATACTGTTTAATAAAGATGGCCCTTGTATAAAATTGTTTTAATATCAAGCCACTAAGATTTTAACTGGATGGAAAGGATTTTAAAAGTTTGTACTGATTATAAGGAAGTGAAAAGCAGAGCTGTATTTTCACTGTTTTGTTGGTGAAGCAAAGTGCCCAAGAAACTCCTTAATCTAGTTGCAAAGTGGCATGATGGACATTATGAGCTGAAGTGTGAATATAATACGGAAATCAATTTTAGTTTGGATGCATAGCTTTTATTTTCATTTATGAGGCACTACTGGCAAGTGGAGATTATGTAGTGCAATGTTGGCTTGTGATTTCAGCGGAACAGAACGCTCATAAACTTCATGGTACAGGACTTGCTCTGTAGTTCCAGCTGAACCGTATGTTGTGTGAACTTGAATCTCCATTTTCTGCTAGAAGATGACAAGATGAGGGAAATCAACTGTGGCAGGTTGGAACATGCTTCCATTAATGAACAGGAAGTTTTACCAAAGGGTGAACATGGGCGATGACATGTGTGACTGTAGTGTCCACTATAATATAAAATCTTGAAGGAACACTGTATTTTGGCATCAAAACTGGTATCGTTCATGCAACAGCCACTTTTTGTCAATGATATTTTCATAAAATGTCTATCAGCTCATTGTTGGTTCATATAACTTATTGATTCAGTTATCTGGAGACACTAATTCTGTTACTGTGGATAGCATTACTCAAACTTCTATTTTCTATTTTTTTGTTCTGTTAAGGTGGCAAGCAGAGCTTGTAGAATTCAGCATTCTCTTGAGAGAAAATACAGCTCTGGACATTTCATGTTGTTATTGGTTGCCTTCTTTCACACATTCTGTCAATCATTATATCAAAATGATAAAGGGATTAGTGAACTATTATTTTTTCCCCAGAAAATGAAACAATGCAATGATTTTTCTCCCAGGTTGGGCTTCCTCCCATTTGGTTCATATTTAGAAACTATTAAATACAGAGAACAAGCACGGACAAGGATCCATTTGTATTTGTCCAATTTTCCCAGTTAGGCTAAATGTGAGTGCGCTGCCCGATGCTCAGGTCTGCCTGGAAAGTCCTTCCAGCCATCAGAGAGCAGCAAAGAGGAACCATTCTGCTGATTTCACAGGAAGTGCAAAGTCCCTTCATGATTAATCTCCAAGAGGCTTCCTGTAGCAGTCTGCTGTGGTGACATACATGGTCTTGCTTCAGGGAAAAGGTTAATGTGAGGGAGAGAGCTGTAGAGTGGGAAAGGTCTCCGCTGCATGAAAATTTCTAATAAGCCAGGCTAGGAGGAAAGCAAAGGCTCAGATCTGTTGAATAAACACATTTCATTTTAAATGTTACATTAGGAGGTCACTTTTTGGCTTCTTTTTTGCTTTTCGTTGTCATTTTCTGAGAAATTTCCACTTTGATGTTTCATTTAAAACGTGGGCAAAAACTTTAGATTAAAATGAGAATCACTCGAAAGTGTTAGCTTCCTCTGTTCGCCGCAGTAGGGGGAAAGCGTTGCGAAGGAGTGGATGATGGGTAAGCAATTTCACCCACGAAAACTTTGGATACCAAACTTAGGGACTGGGTTTTAAAAAATCAAATTTTAAAATGATGGTACAATAGCTTTTCTGAAATAAAAATCAATCTATGCCCCCTCTAACATCCAACCTTTAAAGAAATAGATTAATATATAAGACTTTGAAACTTTTCTAATAAAATTGGCAAAGCTGAAGTTCAATTTAAGAAGCAACTGAAACTGTTCATGGGTTTTGAAAGCAATCTTATTTTATCTCATGAACTTTTCACTTAAATTTTAATTTTTTGAGATTCTTGTACATGAGAATACTAGCTTTACATCCATTCCACACTCTCTCCATCCAACTCCTCCTGTGTACCCTGCTATCCCATCTTGAATTCATGACCTCCTCTACAATTATGATTGCTATACACCCAAATACACACATGCATATATAGTCTACTGAGTTCAGGTAGTGGATATATAGTCTACTGAGTTATAGGGCTAACCATTTGGGATTGGGTAACTTATTAAGTAGCTTGTCCCTGGAGAAAACAGATTCTCCCTCCCTCTGCAAACATTCTGCCTACTTTTGCTTTTGTGGCCTGTGTCCTTGGGCCATATCTCCAAAACTCAAATCTTACTTTCTTCCGTCTGCTAGCTTTAGGGTTATTTTGTTATTCTTTACTTCTAGCTCCTTGAAATATAACGCTAGATTACGTACTTGGAATCACCTTTTGTGTGTATGCTTGTGTCTGTGCATGGGTTCTCATGCTTATGTACTGAGTGCACGTGGAGGCCAGAGCCTGACGCCAGGCATCTTTCTCAGTTGCATTTTATTTTTTGAGGCAGGGTTTCTCGTTAAACCTGGAGCTCTCCAGTTGACTAGACCAGCTGACTAATGAGACCTGGGTTCCTCCTCTCTGTCTCCCAGTGCTGGGATTATAGGCACACATTGCCATTTCTGGATTTTTATGTTGGCACTGGGGATCTGATATCAGATTGCACACTTGCACAGCAAGCATGTGACCCTCTCAGCCATCCCTCTCCCTAGCCTGAAATCTTTTTTTTTTTTTTGATATAGACGCCTGTCACTATGAACTTTCTTCCTAATGACTTGCTTTTTGAATATCATAAATCTGGATATGCCGTGTTTTCATCTTTGTCTCAGGTAATGTTTGATTTCCCTTGTGATTTCTTATTTGATCTATTGGATGTTCAAGAGGAGGCTTAATTTTCATGTATTTGTGGATTTTCCAAGATCTCTGTTGTTACTGATGTCTAGCTTCAAGCTATTTTGATTCAAAAAGATACTCAACATGACTTTTATCCACTTAAATTTCATTGGATTTATTTTGTCGCATAATGTATGGTCTAGCTCAGAATGCATCCATGTGTACTTGAGAGATTTCACCATCCTGTGTCCTTAGGCTGGTGCTTGAGAAGCTAAGGAGACTGCCAGCTCTGTTGGCCTTTGCAAGTTTCTTGGGTGGTGATAGTTCTTCACTATTGAGTCTAGGATTCTGGTAGTGAACAATATGTCTTTGGTATGATATTGGGTCGGGCCACTGTCAGAGGTTTAGTGGAACTGCTCACAGGGTTCCTTGGTCCAGGAAGACCTGGCTGGACTCTTTCGGGCAGCAATACTGACTGAATTCTGCTATGGCTGATGGAAGAGTGAAGTTTTAGGTTATTTTTCCTGTTCAGACAGCTCTGTTTGGAATTTGTCATTGGGCAGAGCTCTGTGTTGGGCTGTGAATGTGGATATGGTCTCCGAGGTCACTGTTTAGCCACTTGGGCTAGCCAGAGAGTATTGCTTCATACTTATGTACAGAAATGCCTTTGGCTCTAGGCCTATGGAAGCCTTAATTAACCAGAGGGAAAAGATCAAATTACTTACCAGATACTTGCTCACCTCTACTGGTTTCTTGGCCCTGGGATGGCTTAAGGAGAGGATTGGGCTGGGTGAGTAACCTGCCTGGGGACTCAGGCCTACTCCAGCAGCATAGCACTACAGTATGACTTCCCTGCAGCATGGTATATCTCCTGGGTGGAAAGGCAAGTCAGCCTCTAGATCTGTACATGGCTCGCTGTTCCTAGTTGTCATTTCTTTTCTTAAAAAACACATTTAATGGACTTTTAAAAATATGTTTTATTTTTTTGTGTATGAGTATATTGCCTGCATGTGTGTGAGCTCACCTGTGTTGTATAATGCCCATGGAGGACAGAAGACAGTGTTGGATCCTCTGAAACTGCAGTTACAGATAGTTGTCAGCTGCCAAGTGGGTGCTGGGAATTGAACCCAGGCCTTCTGCAAGAGCAGTCAGTGCTCTTAACCACTGAGTCCCCTTTCCATTCCCCTATTGATCATTTCTAAGTGATGCCTGGTGATTTAGTACAGAATAGACCTCCAGTACTTCCCATGGGGCAAAGCAAGAATGAGCCTTCTGTGAAGGGTCCCAGAATGTTGGGGAAATAGGCCTCCCATTCTCTTTTCCCTTGTGTTCCGGGTATCATTTTGAGATGGCATGCAGGCCTGGGTAAGGGGCAATATAGTCAATGTGAAACCTTTATCTTTCAAATGTGGATTTTGTAAGTTTTGCATTTGAAGAAGTTATCTCAACCTCACTTCTGATTTTTCCCATATGCATACATATATTTTAAAAAATATTTTATGTATAATTTTTATTTTGTGTGTATGAGTATATTTGCCTGCATGTAGGTAAGTGCACCCATGTTGTGCAATGCCCACGGAGATCAGAATAGGCTGTTGAATTTCTGGGAACTGGAGTTACAGAAATTTGCTAGCCACCATGTGGGTGTTGGGAATTGAATCATGGGTCCTCTGTCAGAGCAGCCAGTGTGCTAAACCGCCAAGCCATCTCTCCAGCTCCCTCATACATGTATTTTTACAGATAGTTCCACAGAGACTTGGTGAGGGGAGCTGGAATTGAAAACAATTCAATTCCTGACATCACTCCAGCACTGTCTTTTCTGTAGAGACCAGTTTCCTTCTTTAGTGCCAGGGCCATATAAGTGCACACAAAGACAGCAATCTAGTTTCTCTACTTATTAACAATTGCTCAAAATTACTTGCTGTACAAAGGCTTAACTCTGCTTAATTTTTTAGCAATCAGTCTGTAGTATTATTTTTGTTACTATCACTTACATTTAAATCCACCAGATTACAGCATATACTATAAAGGCAGTGTGGACATGGGGCCCTTGAAATTGGTCCCTCTCACTGGAAAACTGATGGTTAACGTAAAGTTCCAGAAAACATTCTTAGGTGATTACTTCTGCATATCTGCAGACGGGACCAGCATTTGCTGCTGC